ACGTCCGCGCCACGAGGACCGGAGGGAGGGCCGACCGAAGAGGACCGAGGAGGAGGATGACCGAGGATCGAGGACGAGGAAGGTCGTGGAGGAGGAGGATCGAGGGTTCGAGCAAGAGCAGGAGGCTCGGGAAGGATTACCGGGGCTCGCCGTTACCCCATGTGCACGTCGATAGGCGAGGGTTGCCTGTGCAACCGAAAGGCTGGGTGCCACGCAATGTGGGCAGGAAATAAACATCTCGAAGAGATCAAGTCGTGATGCTCCGTCATATTTACTCCAATCGCCCTCGCGGCTGTGGAGAAGGGAGACGTGGAGACATGCCTCCGAAGGCATCGCTGCCCCGTGGCACGGTGAGACGTGGCGTTATGCCACGTGCTGGCAGGTGCGGCTTCTGTGAGATGTCATAAAGACATCCCCCCCTCCCACTCGCGCCCCCATCACGCCCCCTCGAACAGATCTCCCCCTCCAATGGCTCCCTGGGCGGTCCGACGCCTCACCGGACGTCTCCAAAGCTCTCCCTGTTTCAAGACGGCCCGGGGAGGCCCAGAAAAATTCCAACGGGCACTTCCCTCCGTGAGCACGAGTCTTGTAGGGGCGTGCAGATGGAGAGGGACCTTGGAAGGAGCGTTTATTGCAGTATCGCTGATAAATCTTAGGTTCAAACTGGTCCTCCTCCTCCTCCTCCTCCTCCTACTCCTCCTCCTCCTCGTCTTCCTCCTCCTCCTCCTCCTCCTCCTCCTCCTCCCCCTCCCAAAAGGTTGTCGCAGAAGGGGGGGGTAGGCTCGGGGTGCAGCCGGGGGGCGCCTCGTGCTCGGCGCGCCAGCGCCCCTGCTGCAGGGTGCACTCGGCGAGAGCCCTGCGACCCCGCGAGCGTCGAGGAGCGAAGGGTGCGCGCTCCACCGAAGGACTAGGGGAACAAAAGTGGCATAAACATAAAAACTCTGAGGTCCGCGCGGATTTCCCAGATCGGCGCTGGAGCCCCCTCCCTGGCGCGCGGAGCGCGCCAGGGGCGGCGCCGGAGGCGCCCCAGCGCCGATGCGAGAAATCCGCGCGGACCTCCGAGTTTTTATGTTTGTGTCACTTTTTGTTCCCCTAAGGACGGCCCCGCTGGAGGTTGGGAGGTAACGCCTGAAAGACTTTCGCAAAAACGAACGGTCCGCGGCCAGCACAAGTGCATGCCCACCAAGCTGGGTCCGGCTGGGGATTAACCAAGGCTCGGCCAGCTCAAGCGGCACTAAGCCAGATAAATTGGGATGATGCTGGATTCGGTTGGTTTCTGGCCACGGATAACCCGACGTCCATGCTGCACTCAACACCCAGGAATCGCACCGTAACGGAGGAGAGGGGGAGGAAACGGCGTAATGAAGACCACAAAACTGCATCAACCATGCATGTTCCAAGGTCTGTGCAGATTTGGGGTCATCGGCGACCCACCTACCCCGTGGGGACGCCTTGGGCGCCGCCCCTGACGCGCTTCGCGCGCGAGGGGAAGGGGATGCGGCGACGACCCGAGAAACCCGCCAAGACCTCCTGAAATTCATGTTCATGCCGATTGTGTCTACTTACAAGGAAGGATGAGCGGTGCGCAGGAAAAAGAAGAGAGGGAGTTGACCAAATGCGAAAGCCCAAGCCTACTTTCAAGGGCGAGGCGGTCATCAGAGAAGCGCTGGAGGGAGGGGGGAGGAGGAGGGGGGAGAAGGTGGCGAAAGAGGAGGGAAGAGAGAGGATGGGGGAGGGGGGAGAAGGGGAAGAGGGGATCTACGTGCGTTCGTGGCACATCTGGCCTCCGACCCTTCCTCCTATTTCTGCCCATTGCGGTGTCATGTCTTCTAATACGCCGTCGGGTGTCATAGTGGGCCTGGAACGAGGACACCATCGCCCTGAGAGCATTGACAAATGGGGATTTGTCTACATTGGAGGTTGCGGTGGAGCAGGGAGATGACCAGGAGGATTCTCGTTTTCAGCGCAGGCGTGAACACCAACGAGTTTGTTTGCCAATATTGTCTATGCCGGCAAGCGGGGCGCAGACCTTCTTGGGAGAGGAGACAAGCAACAAGAGAGCAGGACGCGAGAGAAGCAAGAGGGGCGGCCGGGGGGCGGAAGGGTACCAGCCCGACGAGCAAACAGGCGATAGCACGCTTCCCACGCCGAGCGAAAAAGTCAACAAGGGACACGCTGGGGAGACTCCCCGATCTCGAGCAAGTGAGCTTCCCACCTGTTATCGTTGCTGCCAAAAGCGAGTCACCCGATATGCTTGAACACCGTCCCGCTCGCCACAGACAAACGGGGCTCGAAACTACATTCACTGCCATCGTTGACGCAGTCTGAAAATGAAGTCCGGGCCAATTTGATTCGACCAGGGGGGCACAAATCTGCACGATAACATCCCTCAGCAGGACGGGGAAGGGCACCTGAGTTTGTACTCGAAACACCACCATGGGCGCACAGCAATCATTCGAGGGATTAAGGGGGACCCGAACAGCAGAAAAGAACCAGGGGCGCGGTGGCCAGTCGCTGCGCTCCAAGAGGGGGCGGGAACACCGAGTCAATACAAAGCGAGAGAATCGGGCGCCGCCTCGCAAGCATTCAAGGCCTCGAGCAAGGCAGCTCCGAGGCCGACTCATGTCCCCCAACCCTTTCCAAACATGGACCTCGACGGAAACGTCCATGAAAACAACGCAGCACGCGCCCTGATCGAGCCCCCACCCGGGCCATGGCACAAGCATGAATTCAAACCGCCGGTAGGGATCCCAGCGCACCTTGCAATAATGCCGGAAGGGCGTTAAACCCAGGCGTAACTATATATGTACACATACACATACATACATACACATATACTATACATACACACATGCATGAATACATACACACACATACATGCATGCATGCATGCATACATACATACATACAAATATACAGCTGTACATATATACATGCATACACGGACCCCATGATTCCCGACGACCCCCCAGAAACCCAAAAACTTCCTAGGACCCCCAGGACCCCCTATGACCTCACAGAAGTGTCTCGCAGGCGTTTGAATTTGGCGGCGTCGTTTTTTATGTGGCGGAGTCCCTTCTGTTTGGCGGAGTCTTTTTTTTATAGGAAGCGGGAAATTCACACTATTACTTCGAAGGGGCTGATTGCTGAAGGAAACACGCCTTTTAGTAAAGGGGATTTGCTCTGTTGCGCGACAACCGCGGCGGCGCGTCCGAATTGCCGAGCCACGTCCTGCAACTCGCTGAGAACATGTCCAAGGGTCGCCGCGACCCGATGCAACGCGGCCCTGACTACTCGAGCAAATGCATCGCGGGGTGAACTGGCAGGACAGACAGGGGCCCCCCGCCCCCCGACCGGGCCCTGCCCCCGCATCGCCACCGCATCGCAAGGGCTTAATCAAGGCAGGTCGCGGGCTTTACTAAAGCGAGGAACCGGCTTTACTAAAGAGAAGAAGCGGCTTCACTAAAGCGAAGAAACGGCTTTACTAAAGCGAGGAAACGACTTTAGTAAAGACGCGCCGCTCGAGACATTCCGGAACAACGCAAAACAGAAAAAACTATGTTTTAGTGAAGCGAAAATAAAGCTTTAGAGAAAACGGGGGGGCGGCTGGGATAAAACTGCGCGCAAACATTTCGCTCCTCCCATGCAATATGGCCCAAAACTCCAGATGCGAGGGCGCGGCGCAAGTTCGCCTGTGGGCCCGAAGCCCATCACCGCCGTCGCCGCGACGTTCGTCGTCGCCGCTGTCGCCGTTGCCGCCGTCGTCGACGCCGTCGCCGCAGGCGCCGCCGTCGTCGTCGCCGTAGCCGTCGTCGTCGCCGCGACGCCCGCGGCCCGCGCATTCGCGCTATTACCAGCGGCGGGTCGCGCGCGAACGCGCGCGCCACTGCGATCGCATCTCCGCTCGCCCGACGGAGGCCCAGGCGGACATCGCGACTTTTTCCCCACCCACAACTCGTTTAAAGTAATAGTGGAAAAAAACGCCTCTGATTCTATTTGGCGGACTCGTTTCTATTTGGCGGAGCCGTTTCTATTCAGCAGAGTCGACTCCTCCTTGGGTGTACACTGGTCCTCCTCATCATCATCATTCTGCTCATCGTCCTCCTCTTCATCCTCCTCCACATTCTTCTCCACTCTGTGAAATTCACTGGACATCCCAAACTGGTGCCGAGTATTAAAGGTAGGCGCCGCGCCTGTGAACATCGGCGGTGTACAGTAGGCGCGCGGTTTGGTGGAACCGCGGTTTGGTCCGCACGTCGGTGTCATGTAGGCGCCAGGCTATTTCTGGACACTGGCGGTGGCGCTGTGCTGACATATTCCCTGTCAACGAGCAATTATTTGCATTCACCTCCGCGCCGCGCATAACCCAGGAAGCCCAGCCCTGTCGCTGGACAGGCTTTGGCTTCCGACCCCTTAAGAATGCCCCAGGACGACGACGACGACGACGACGACGACGACGACGGCGGCTACAGTCAACCCGTATCATAAGGACACAAGAGCCTTGAAGGCCATGCCGACACTCTTCGAGCGGGGCGCGGCCAGCGAACGTGGTCAAGAATGGGCCAATGGGAAAGGATGCAAGGGTATCTTTGGGAAAGTCGGCCATCATTGCTATGCGCGCTGACTGTACGACGACGACGGCCGACCAAAAATCCGCTCAAATCTGGACCCGCCCCAGCCAGCCTGGACAATTTCCCCCCCGCCTCGATCTTCGAGGGCCCCCAGGAGGCCGAACCGCGGGGACAAAACAGCTCGAACCTCGAACCTCCAAGCTCATTCGGCCGCTCGATCAGTCACGACGACGGCGGTCGAAGCGGGTCTTCTGCGGCAACCCACGGGTGCCCCCCATGCCACCTCGCTGGCACTTGCGAATCGACGCTGCTCGACGCTCATCTGTGATAGTCAAAGCTCATCAACGCTACATCGACGCCAATCGACGCTGGTCGGCGCTGAATGGGCGTTGTCTCGGCGACGACCCGACGCCAGCGCACACTAGTGCCCGAGAAAGATGGGGCTCTGAGGGCACACGAGGCTCCCATGCGTTGCCACCGAAAGAAGCGGGTCCGTGCCCTCTCCGCGCCCACCGCTTGAGCTCGCCGACCTCCCTCAGCCGTTCGAGCGCCGCCTCGTCGCGCGGCTCCGGCGCAGCGGCCGCGAGGCCGAAGGGGGAACAGGAGCGCGCGGGAGAGGACGCGAGGGCGCAGTCAGGAGCGCTCTGTGGCAACTCATGGGATCCCATGCCATCTTGCTGGCTCTTGCGAATCGACGCTAATCGACACCAATCGACGCCAATCGACGCTAACCGACGCTAAATAGACGCCACGAAAGCTAGCGCGGGCTAGTGCGCTCTAAAGATGGACTTGCTACCGAACGAGGCTGAGGGGCAGGAGCGCGCCGGAGAGAACGCGAGGGCGAGAGCAGGAGCCAGGCAAGATCGGGTGTGTCAAAAGAGGGGGGCGCCTCAACTCGGGGGGGGGGTCGCAGATGATCATTGCCGGAGGCATCTGACGCGGACGAAGGGGTGAGGCCAGCGAGCGCACTGGACAAAGAATGTGCCGTGATATCAGGAGAGGTTTCATGGCCCTGCCCATGATATCCACTTCACCCTCGTCACCACTCCCCTCTTGACCGCCCCCAGGTAGAGAACGACACCGGGACAGGACCAGGACAGCATCGGACTGGGACAAATCGGGGGTCATGAAACCTGGCGGTTGTGTGAAGAAGGTATCTCGCCGCGGCCATGTCAAAGCGCTCCTGCACGCTCTGAGAGCACTCTGGAGCACCCCAGAACGATGGATCCTGGCCCTAGCCCGGCCCCTCGGGGCCGCAACTCACTGGCCACGAGAGGCATTCAGCAGCCGACAACTCCCTGTGCAAAACGTGTTCTGGTCGACTGCTGACTTCCATGAGCTCGGGCGGTTGACGCCGAAGGCTTCGAACATGACTGCGAGAGCTGGATAGGTTGCGAGGAGGATAATCCTGAGAGGCGGCGGAGAGAGGATGCAACGGTGATGAAAGAAGATGATGCAATCGCCTGAATCTGATGGTTTGATCAGTGGGAGCCTTGTCTGCGCGTGCACAGGCGAATCGCATGAGTCCGCCGCCGCGCCGCATGGCACTGGACGGAGTGTTCTCAGATCACCCAAGAGTCCTCTGCATAGAATGGTGTATACGGGAGCTCTTGGGGTTTGGGCGTGCTGCCGCATGACTGTTTCTGGAGGCAAGAGCGCCCCCTAGCGGGACAAGAGGTCCCAACAGGCCCCCAACATGGTTAAAGAGGGCCCCGAGTCGCCCCAAGATCGCCACACGATGGCTTCAAAACAGCCCAAGAAGCCGCCAAGATGCACCGAGAGCTCCGAGAGGACCCCCAAGAGGGCCCCGAGAAGCCACAACCATTGGTTAGTCATTGGTGTTTGGAGGATGTTTGCAATCTCGCCGCTTCGGGCTTCCAACTCTCCATGACAGCCAAAGAGGCCCCCCGAAACCCTGAGGTAGTGGAGCGTGTGCCCT